AGATTCGCCCGCACTGAAATAACAGTTTGGCGTGTTGGATAATGAATAACTTATTAGACGTTTTGTTGTGTAGTATCGCTGAGTATTTTTACTCGTTATTTGTATTTGGACTCGCCCTACGGCTCATACGGCACAACTCGTAAAAATACTCAGCGATACTACATAACAAAATGTCTAAGAAGATATATTTATTCTACGAGTCAGAAAGGTCACAATTCTGCGACAAAACGCAACTGTTTTTCTCACTTCCGTTTTCATTAGGGCCGAAGTCCACGATTAGAATTTTAGGTACTCGGAAAATGTGTTGGGGGTTTTACAGCTCGCTCGGCCGAGTTAATATAACGACAGGTGCCAAGACTCTGGACTCTTCTTCTTTTATTCTCTTCTCGAGAGCTACCACAGCGACGCTCTATGCATCTAATGCTCTGTGCGTCTAATGCTCTATGCATCTAATGATCTAGCTTTAAGTAGCAAAACCGTAGACATGTTTGGGTTAGCTGACCGTGGGAGTTTCCAGTGTATCCGTTTATTTTGCAAAAAGGGGGAAACCGGGTGGCCCTCACTGAAGCACTTTGACGGGCGCCATGGAACCAACTGAACGTCAACAGCTGCGCAAAACAGCACACACAAACAGGAAAATACGCAAACAGGAACTTGAGTGGGTAGAACTCAAGGTCAGCTTGACCAACGCAAACACGACCACCTGTGAAACTGTCTAAATGTCTAACACGGTAATAAGAAAATCCGCGAGCTGTACCAAAAAAATATAAATCTACCAAAACAATAAGTTTACCAAAACAAAACGTAGGGCGCAAAAGGCAAGGCTCAACAAAACAAAAGGCTTAACTAGAAAAATCTCAAAACAACAACTTTCAACTCACCTCTCAACAAATGCAACAAAGCAGTGTACAAGGCTGCAGGGCTATTTGCAGGCCTGCTCACCCATCCGGCCCCGCACAAGTCTCCTTCCCAGCCGTCTTTCGGGATGTCACGCAACGCTCCCGAAGACGGCTGCGAAGGAGACTAGCCCCGCACGCTTCAGTTGTCATTTTAGGAGCAAAAATGTTACTTCTACGTTCCGAAGACATAGTGAAGAATCTGAATGAAACGTTTTGATTTTCGTGGAAAAGATCTTCCTTCAGAATCGTTCAGCTCTCGTTCGAAAGTGACTATTTACAGATCACAGTGGATTGAGCAATAATCACGAGATTCTCACGCTTAAAATGTTCCACGCCGGAACTAAGAAAATAAAATTGTGAAAATTTGGGTTTTGAAACCAACAACTTTTATGGATTCTATTAGTTTTGATTTTAGCCTGAAGGTTGAAGCAAATGGCAAATGATGGTAGAAATTGGGCCTTTCGCCTTTCACGGCTTTTACATTTTTAAGTAAGAGTATTTGTACTAGATAACACTGAGAACAACAAGGCTTTAAGCACACCGAGTAATTGCGACGAAGTAGCAATTATGGTGTATTTGAAAAACTGGAACTGGAGAAACGTCTAGGCTGTTGGAAGGTTAGTAACTTACCAACAGTAAGGCATAGAGAGAATGCGAGCAAAAACTGGACTGATTTCATTTTGAACGCCGAACACCGCCTGCAACTTCGTGTGGCCGGAGATGGTAAAGCGTGAAGCTACTGAGATCTACTGGCTTATATTTAAACCTAACCTGACCTTAACCCTAAGCCACTAAAACAATTGGTTTTGTTATTACTATCAGTTTTTACCAATCAGCGTTTAGCCGGCGATTGTATCTCTTGTTATTATTTTCCTTGAAATTAAGAGAAATTGTCTCATAGAAATAACGACTCGTGTAGTCGGAAGAAGGTTTCCTCGAAGGAACTTTGATCAACTAGGAACTCATTTTCTGTATCCCGAGATAAAAAAAAACAAAACAAAACAAAACAAAACAGGAAATTGAAAATCAAGTCCTAATGTTTACTACATTGGGTCATAGGCTAATTATAAAGAATTCAACGAGTGGATCATTTTTGCAACGCTGGCCGATTTCGGGGCTGAGATATCTGATAAACCAGTTACATTCCAAACCTTTTTAGGCGTCGGTGCCAGCCTTTGCTGTGATATCTGGCACGAACTACCAAGTGAGTTTCAAGTTAAGAGGTACTAATGCAATATCACTACATTTACACTGCGCCATGCGTTTTCCTCATTTTCAAAAAGCGTAGGCGTGACCTCATTCTTTTTTCCAAATCGGTCTCAAAACTCGAATGTTACCAAGCATAAGAAGATGGCGCATTTAGTGAAAATTCCTATCTTATATAATTTTTTTTCGTCAGTTGAGGAACACAACTATTGTACTTATCGGACTGGGATCTCTTTGTTAAAATTTTTGCCAAGAAATATTTCACTACCGTTACATATTGTATCGCATTTCAAGAATTCTAGGATTGGCGTTTTTCTCGGAAACACTTATTTATACTTATGCTTGGTAAGCTCACATTGTAGAGCACTGTATTGCCGTCCAAGGGGTCGGGATCTCAAACCTTCGGACCTACACTCGGGTTTTAAAATAAATGAGATTGTGCTGCCTTTGCCATGACATCCGCAAATGGTTTGACATTCCAGTCTTCTCGGACATTAATAAACAGTAGGACTTGTCTCCTGGAGTCTCCTTAGTACTAGTAAGCAGAGGACGCTAGAGAACCCACATGTGGGATTAGCCCTTAATCCTCTTACCTACCAACCGCGCTCGACTTATAAATATCCTGATGTGATTATGCAACAGTTCAGTTGACCTCAGGCCTTGCTCTTGTGAGCTCCTCTTCCCATTATATGTATAGCTTTTAAATACATACTTGACCTCCACTCTTCCTTTCGCCTCCGATAATCGCACATGGTGTCAGGAGTGGGATCCTATAGCAGGAACAAGAAGTAGCGGGAAAGAAAGTTGTTTCCGACCTCATTTCACATGGCGTGAATGAATTCAAACGCTCAAGATCCAAACGAAGAAATATTCGAGGAATCAAGCACGCCAGTCACGTCACCACCCACAGACCCAGTGGAACCGAGTTCTTCAACGGCTTCACTACAGACGGATAACCCACAAAGTGGAAGCGTAAAAATGGCCGCAGCAAATTTCAATATTCCTCCTCCGGCTAAGTTTGATCCCAAAACAGACGATTGGGACCACTGGATAAAGCGCTACGAGTTATTTGAAGCAGCTACGGAACGTGATGGGCTGTCAGATAAAGTGCGCATTAATACGCTTATTTACGTAATGGGAAATAATGCCGCCGACATCTATGATAGTTTCAAACTGTCAGGTGAAGATATCCAGTACGCGATTGTCAAACAAAAATTCAAAGATCATTTTAAAGGAAAAGTTGCTTTAGTCTTCGAGAGAACACAGTTCGTAAGACGCTTTCAGCAAGACAAAGAATCTGTCCTCACCTTCATTGAAGATCTTCAGAGAAGAGCCGACCTCTGCTCTTTTGGGGACCTTCGTGACCAAATGGTGCACACTCAAATAATTGCTGGTTTGCGTGATTCTCATCTCAGGCGTCGATTGATGGCAAATGACAATTTAACTCTGGATCAGGTAATTAAAGAGGTTAAATCCGCCGAAATCACGAAACATCAAGATCAAATTCTTCAAAACCCCTCAAGTGCCGCTGACATATCGGAAATACATGACAGGAAAGTTCCAGAAAACAAATGTCGAGGTCCAAAATCCAAGCATTATGGAGTTTCTTCGAAAGCAAAGAAAAAATCGTGTTACAGATGTGGAGCTCAGCCAGGTCACCCTCCTCAGCGTTGCCCAGCCAAAGATGCTACCTGCAATGCATGCAACAAAAAGAGTCATTTTTCCAAGGTCTGCAAATCCTCAAAACAAGTCTATAGAGTTAATGATGATTCGGAAGAAGATGATATCTTTGTAATGACCGTCAACTGAGTCGTCAACACAATCGAAACATCGGAGAAATCTATAGATAGGAAACTCCGAAGTACATTTCAAGATTGATACCGGCGCGGATGTCACAGTTATTCCTGAAGAAGTCTTTCGCAAGTGCAACTTAGGAAAACTACGTTACACCTCCAAAAGACTCTTTGGAGCGGATCACAAGGGTCTCTGTGTAATAGGGACAATTCGTGACACCTTATCCCTGGGAGAAAAGTGCGTGACCGAAGATATTTACGTTGTTAAAGGCCTAAAAGAGCCTATTCTGGGGCAGCCAGCGATTCAAAAGCTAAATCTATTGGCTCGAATCAATGAAATCCAAAGTCAAAGCTACGAAGAAAGTATTAAAGCGAAATATCCTCAACTGTTCCATGGACTGGGAGAACTTGAGGGAGAATATGAAATCAAGTTGAAGTCAGACGCTCAACCGTTTGCCATCATGACCCCAAGACGTGTTCCATTACCAATAAAAAGCAAAGTAAAGGAAGAGCTTGCCCGAATGGAGAAGCTGGGAGTAATCAGAAAGGTTGACAAGCCTACAAATTGGTGCGCTGGAATGGTGACAGTACCTAAACCAAACGGGAAAATCCGAATATGTGTGGATCTGACAAAGCTCAATGAAAACGTTTGCCGTGAAACGTATCCACTTCCAAAGATTGAAGCCTTGCTAGGTGAAATTGGAGAGTCCACAGTGTTCACAAAAATTGACGCAAATTCCGGTTTTTGGCAGGAGAAGCTAGCAGAAAACTCTCAACTCCTGACCACATTTCTGACTCCCTTTGGCAGATATTGTTTTCAGCGACTCCCCTTCGGTTTGAAATCAGCACCAGAACGATTCCAAAAGAGAATGCTATACGAGCTGGAAGGTTTAGAAGGAGTCATATGCATTATGGATGACATCCTCTTGCATGGAAATACGCAAAAACAACATGATGAACGACTTGAAGCAGTTTTAACAAGATTGATCAGAGCAAGAATCACCTTGAACCCAGAGAAGTGCGAATTTTCAAGGAAACAATTGAAGTTCGCGGGCCTTAGTCTCAGCGCTCAAGGAATAGGTCCTGATCCAGACAAGACTGCCGCTATTGAAAAGATGGAGAAACCGCAAAATGTTGCAGAATTACGGAGATTCCTGGGAATGATGAACCACCAACAAAAGTTCATCGAAAATCTGTCTGAGAAGTCTATGCCTCTTCGCGATCTTCTTTCAAGCAAGAACAAATGGCACTGGAGTTAAGCTCAAGAAGAATCTTTCACTCGCTTGAAGAAAGAAATGACTCAAGCGCCAGTTCTCGCTCATTACTGCTCCAATAAAGAAACTATTATATCTGCAGACGCGTCGTCGTATGGATTAGGAGCAGTCCTCTTACAAGTCCAAGAAGATGACTCAAAGAAGCCAATCGCCTACGCTTCGCGCTCTATGACGTCTACTGAACAAAGATACGCTCAGATAGAGAAAGAAGCACTCGCAACTACTTGGGCTTGTGAAAAGTTTGCCGACTTTGTCCTCGGTAAAGAGTTCCTTATCGAAACGGATCACAAACCGTTGGTGCCGTTACTAGGATCAAAATGTCTCCAGGACATGCCACCACGTATTCAAAGGTTCCGGATGCGACTTATGCGCTACTCGTACCAAATAGTCCATGTACCCGGAAAAGACCTCACCACAGCTGATACCTTATCAAGAGCACCACTTCACCGAAGTCTCACGAAAGACGAGAAGAAACTTAACGAAGATTTAAACCTCTATGTCTCACACATAGTAGAATGCCTGCCAACTACAGAGCGCCGCTTGCAAGAAATACGCCTTCATCAGGACGAAGACGAAGTCTGTTCAAAGCTTAAGCTGTTCTGCAGTGAAGGCTGGCCAGAGAAACATCACTTGAATTGTTCACTCCAACCGTACTGGCAGTACAGGGCAGAAATCACAGTTCAGCAGGGAATCCTAATGAAAGACGACAGAGTCATAATTCCCTCAGTGTTAAGACTCGATGTATTAGACAAGATACACACAGGTCATCAAGGCATCCAGAAATGCCGTGAAAGAGCGAAAAGTGGTGTCTGGTGGCCGAATCTCAGCAAGCAGATAGAAGATCTTGTCAGGGAATGCCCTACTTGTATCAAGACGAAAACTAATCGTGCAGAGCCCATGATTCCTACACAGTTACCTGAACGTCCATTTCAAAAAGTAGGAACCGATCTATTCGAATGGAAAGGACAGGAATTTGTCCTCGGGGTAGATTACTTCTCGCGGTATTGCGAGATTGGAGTACTTCGAAAAGCCACATTTCAAGAAGTGATCAATCACCTCAAAGCGATTTTCGCGCGCCATGGAATTCCAGAAACCGTGATATCCGATAACGGACCGCAGTATTCAGCGGAATTCACCAAATTTGCAGAAAAATGGGGATACACACACATTACAAGCAGTCCAAAATACCCCCAAAGCAACGGAGAAGCTGAAAGCATGGTGCAAACAACTAAAACCCTCCTTACAAAATCTGACGATCCGTATGAAGCACTACTCGCTTACAGAGCTACTCCACTGGAAAACGGATTCAGCCCAGCCGAACTATGCATGGGACGGCGACTACGCACCACCCTTCCAACTACTCCGTCTAAACTAACACCGCAATGGCCAGAGTTAACGACATTGCGTGAAAAGGAAGCCAAGATTAAGACTGAGCAAATGAAAGAGTACAACCGACGACATGCAGTTAAAGAGCTCAGTAATCTGTCGCCAGGCGATCGTGTTTACATCCCTGATCGCAAAGAGAACGCGGTAGTAGTATCCAAAACACCACAGCCACGTTCCTACTACCTCGACACTGATAGCAACGCAACTGTTAGAAGAAACAGACGTAAACTCAATCCAAATCCTAAAGAAGCAAAGTACACAACGGAAAGCCCTCCACCTTATCCTCCTGAAACTTCCAAGGATCAGCCACCTATTCCGGCAGAGAAGAACGAAGCTTTTATGTCTGCCCAAAAGTCTTCCATTCCAGTTCCCGTTCCTGGAACCACTACTCGTTCCGGAAGAAAGGTCAACCCGCCCAAGAGATTAGGTTTTGATTAGGACTGAATGAACATTTGCTATTAGTTTCATGATCAAATTACTTAGTGGACTCGCCTTCCATTATTAAAAGACTTTGCACAGAGACATTCTTACAGTATCGAAATGTCTAGAAAGGGGGATGTGGGATTAGCCCTTAATCCTCTTACCTACCAACCGCGCTCGACTTATAAATATCCTGATATGATTATGCAACAGTTCAGTTGACCTCAGGCCTTGCTCTTGTGAGCTCCTCTTCCCATTAAATGTATAGCTTTAAATATATACTTGGCCTCCACTCTTCCTTTCGCCTCCGATAATCGCACACCACACACTTCTCGCAAAGAGTTGAGAACGTAGCTCCCGGTGTTATAGTCTGGCCTCTTTATCATTTATATAAGCCCCATTTAAATGAGCCTTTAAAAAAAAAACAAACAAACAAACAAATCAACTGGACCAGCTTGTCTCGATATCGAAAATTAATTCAGTAGATGATGAATAAAACAATGAATCAGTTATTCTGTGAAGAAAATCGTGATTGATTGACTGCCGGAACTTCTGCAAAAAGCATCTTGCTGACTAAAAGCGTCTGATCCATGGTGGCTGTGATTTCACTTTGGGGTTAAAAGAGGATTAAGAAGGATTTCTTGTCTCGGCCTCGACGACAAATAAAATGTCAGGCAAGGAGCTACTTTATTGTCAGAATGTCTCAATAATTTATAAAGTAATGGTCGATAAAAATTTTTCGCTAGAATTGTATTTGCTAATGGTTTTCTCTAATAAAACTAAATTCCACAGTTTGTATTTAATAGCATTCGATGTTGACTATGTTCACGTAGGTTGTCTATTTTACTCAGGCAAAAGAATTGGAATATTAGATTCATTATCACAAAATAAAAAGGAGCATAAAATGACTGAAAGGAGTGAGCTAAGAAATAATTAAAAACAAAGTACTCGTTTGTGAGATCAATTGCTTGCTAGAAGTTCTAAACTACACATCTTTAGTGTTCATTACTGAAGGTTCAACGAAGACAGGCTACAAAGACCCATACCAACAGCATGATGACGCTAACAATTGGTACTGAGGGCTCCGTTGCACAGATCGTCGCTACAGCAGGTTATCTCGCAGTCAGCCTTTCACCGAAGGTTCTTTGCAAAAGTCAGATGACTTGGCATTACACTCGGAAAAGACTGAGCAGCTTTTGCCACAGGCCGGGTATGATACCGGCCATCACTCGTTCTCTCCGCAACTTGAAGAGTTTCCTTCACCTGTCAATACCTGGTAGACAAGTTACCTCTTCCTGGATTTTTTTAAATTCATCCCAACCTTTGGTGGTAGTGCATTGGTAGCATTTAAGGCCATTACCTGATCAAAACAAACAAAACTGTTACGGTTTTTCGGCTACGGGGATACGGTCACGGACTGCTTATCCTGCCGTCTTGGGGGAGAGTGGTCACTCCTCTTCTCCGGGCCGGGTGGGACACCAAAAGTAGAAGCCGGGCTCCGTCAAGAAAATTATTCGCTGGCCTCTACATGGACAGGGCTATCAGCTTGTTTTTGGGGCCTGTAGAGCTCTCATTTATGGGTTCAAATCGATAAGTACTCTCGTCCCTTTCACCTGTGTAACTCCTTCTTATTGCACGTGGTTATTCTACTTATATAGTACAATTTTACAGATACTCAAGAATAGTAGTTTTACAGCATGCAGTTGTCACACAATGTAAATATTGTACAGCATATGGTGTGATACGGTTGTTATGGAAATCAATACACTACAGGGCCCTCGGTTTAAATTCCAGGCGAGTGTGTTAGGTAAACAAACCGAACGTTACGTGTATGTTTCTGTGCTTTTCCTGTCAGTAATGATCAACAGTAATAGCACCAAGTTCTTTATTTTAGTTGGCAAGGATATCTGAATTCCAAGAGGGGTAACGGGAAATTTCACTATTAGGTAGTTCCTTTTCGATTCTATCGCATGGGAAGAGCAATAGTAGGTTTTCTTTTATTTTCCAATCCCCTTTTTTCGTTTTGTTTGTTTCTCTAATGGTTTTATCTTTCAGTGTTTGACGTTTCAATGCGGACGGAAAGAGGCTGAGGGTAAGAGTGTGCATGATTTCCTTGCAACTAGTTAATGAATACAGGAGATACAATGAATATATGAAGTTCATATATTTTGAACTGCGGTATTAAATACGTATGATGCACGATTCTTCGCAGTAGATAGCGTTATTTATGCAATAGCGAAAATCAGACCTGAAAAAAATCAGGCCTGTACGGGATTCGAACCACTGACCTCTGCGATACTACAGCGCTGCACTAGTATCGCAGAGGTCAGTGGTTCGAATCCCGTACAGGCCTGATTTTTTCAGGTCTGATTTTCGCTATTGCATAAATAGCGCTATCTACTGCGAAGAATCGTGCATCATACGAATATAGGAGATGTCAGTATGGTCCTCTTGAGTTTACTTGTTGTTGTTAAGGGGAGGCTCTTTACGCAGTGAAAAGGGGCAATATGTTCAAGAATAATCACAGGGGTTGGAAATTTTTTTTGGTCGGATTCTGACAAATCAGGTAGAGTTATTTGCTTGCGAGTCTTACAACAATAGAATTAACATTATTACACCCGCAAGTTGCAAAGTAGCCAATAGTGAGCTCAGTAATAATTTTATGAGCCCGGTTCGATGGCCTTGATGGGTTTTTGCAGGTATTTGGGTTAAATAACATTGAAGTCGGCTCCACACCTAGAAACAATTTGGATATATCAACAAAGTTGAAATGGTAAATTGGCCACCGTAATGATTACAAAAGCTGACGTTTCGAGCGTTAGCCCTTCGTCTTTCGCTCCGACGAAGGGCTAACGCTCGAAACGTCAGCTTTTGTAATCATTACGGTGGCCAATTTACCATTTCAACTTTGTTGATATATCCAAATTATTTCGTTACTCCCACCGACGCAGCCCCAAACAGTTTCTTTCGAAACTATCAGCCTTTATTCACACCTAGAAGTTGCGAAGTGGTCGGTAGCAGAGAATTATTTAAACTAAAATATCCATACGCTGAGACAAGTCCTATGTTAACACCATATCAGCGATCCTTTTCATGCAAAATTAACTTAGAGTAACTCCGGACTCACTGCTGCATGAAAAAAACAATAAAACAACGCTAATGGGCGGATGAAGCATCAGAAACATTTAGTAAACATTTCAATGAAAAAAAAAAAAAAAAACAAATGAATGAATGGACATGATGCTGATGATGGTGACAAAGGTCATAGAATAATCCAACAGTACGTGATTGGTTTGTCATATTTGAGTGATACAGTCCTTAAGAACATATTTAGAACATACTAGCTCAGGCTGAGAGTCAGTTCAGTACAGCTCATTCTTTTTATTTTGGTGAGAAGTATAAAAAAAGGTAAAAAAAATGTCTGGTGTTGTCTAAGTTAGTCAGGTGGCTTTCCAGAGTCAGTCGATGAAAGATGTTCGTGTCGTTGGTCAAACTGACTTTGACTGAGAAAAGTCTCAGTCAATAATGTGATTGGAGTGTCAGTGATGTTCAAAAGTGTGATTGTTGACATCACTATCCGGCTCGTCTTTCGTTTAATTTCAGTTAGTCTTACGTATTTTTCAAAAACGTACTCTACAAGACGCACTTCCACTCAGGCCACTCTTCTATCGTCACATTTGTGACCAGCCGTGCTCTAGAGGAAGCTCCTCTACTTAGGTCACTCTTATATCGTCACATTTGCGGCCAGCTTTCCCAAAATTTGGATCACACAACTCTTTGGTACATTTTTAATTTATTCCTCATCAGCAAATCCTTGCAACGTCAAAAATGTGAATAAATCCAGGGTTTTTTTAATTTTAAATTCCTTGGAATAATTATGCACTTAGGAATGTCTACAATGATGTCCATTTTGGACGAAAGTTTTAATTTAGAAACAACGGAGTAATACCATGGCTATTTTCAAACCGTTTTATTGTTGTAGTTTGTCACAAATTAAAGTCAAATACAGTGGTAGAGCCTGTTTTACTGTAGTCAGTGATCTTTTTCAAGGTTCACCAAACAGAGACATAAAGGCCACGAGAGCGCAGACCAAAAGCATGATGGCGCTGACCATTGGCACCATAGCCGCATTGCACAAATCGCCTGTACAGCAGTGGAGCTCGCATTTGAGAGTTACTGAAGAATCAACTGACTTGCAAGAGGGATGTTCATCTACTTTGCATTCAGCTTTTGAAGTACAACCTTTGGTGAATTCTTGGCCGTTGGATTTCTCTATCATAACTTTTGCACAGTGATCTTTTTCCCCTGGGCAAGTCAATTCTTTGGTCTCACAGTCTCCCCAACTCTTAGTGCTATGACACTGATGGCATTTGTGGGCATATCCTTTCAAATGGAACAGACAACCGATCAATCAATCAATCAGTCTGTCAGTCAATAAGGTAATTTTAGTTTTTTATCAACTGAGTTGATAAAACCGAAATTACCTTATCGACTTACTTCTTTACAAACTAGAAATCTGTTCATAAATGTTCAGTAATATCAAGTGATCAGAACGAAGTTGCTTTTCATGGCGGCCCAGGTCCAGTGACACGATGACTGACCCAAAATTTCAGCGCATTATTACTAAATACTGAATATCAGGAATCAAGCTGGAATTTCTTTTCACATTTCACCGTCGGTTATTTGTTTGTAGTAAAATGTCCTTACCCTTGCAAGCTGCGTGCGTGTGTATTACATAAGTTTTTTTGTGGGGCTTGTAATTCCTGCAGCGTCCATGAATGGCCTCGCGATCGACATTTTTCCATACGCGTGCGAGTGCACCCATGTATCAATCGTTCTTAAAATTTACGAAATACCCAGTAATGATCATGACACACTAATTGTGGTCACGATTTTTCCAGTATCGTAAATCACAATTCCAGCAGTTTCCAATATAGGATCAAAAAATTCTTACTTATTCAATAAGAGCAACCCAGGCATTGAATCATCAACTGAAATGTTGGTTTAAACCTTCACTGTGACCATGCATCATTCACGGTGTTTCTTTAGGGAGTATCGTGTGTAATATCATAAATCATGTTTTCCTTTATGTTACCGTTAAACTGAAAATAGCATAAAATCTTCATAAGATTTTCTCAAAATCAAAACCGTCGTCTGCTTTTGAAATTATCATGTACCTTCTGCTTTCTACACCAATCTTACGCTTGAGTAAAAATGGTAGCATCTCAGCATGTTGTCGTCCTTCAGTGACATTTTGGAAAACACGGTATTGAAATCAAATTTGGTCATAAACTACTTTCGAAGTAAAGTTTTTAATTTTCCAAAAATATCCAAACTTTCGGTGTTCATATCAGATATGGTCCGAAATCAGTGATCATATCCAATAGGCTGTTTTGCCTTATTTAGTTAATGTTCAATATTGTCACTCAAAAATAATTTTGGCTCAGCATTTTTGAAATGATTATTTCAATAAGTAGACTTTGTTTAATGGCAACCTTGAAATCATGATTGAATTGAGGTGGAAAACTTTTGAAGAAACATTATCTCCCAGCCGAATACTTCCCTGATCACGTGCATAATTTTTTTTCCGAAGAGCATTAATGGTCACAGTTGTGCGGATATTTTTAATTCCATTTTTAACATTGATCAACTAATATTTATCGCAAAATATACTAAAGAAAAAAAAATCGAGTTTTCTAGGTACAAGAAAATTAAATGAAATAAAAAGCCTCTTCATCCAGTGCAGGATTTAGTTGAAGTTGTAAAGAAACAAAACTGATTAAAGGTCGATACATCTAACCTTTKATGGTCACTACAAGTTGAAAAATGTTCAAAGAAAGCATATGCTGTCCTAGGATTTCTAAAGAGAAATGTTGGTACTAAGAACTGAAAGATCTTCTCCATGCTATACAAATCTATGGTTCTCCCTATTCTTGAAGATTGTGCACCAGTTTGGAGTCCGCGCTTGAAAAAGGACAGTTATGTTCTGGTGACAGTTCAAGGACGCGCATCCAGGTGTGCCCTTGGCGAAAATGGCAAAGACCTATCTTATCAGGAAAGATTGGATATTCTACGTTGGCCTGCCCTAGAGAAGCGAAGAGAGTATCTATCACTGAAAAATGTTTTAAGACAGTTCATAGTTTAAATGGTCTAAATCCATCTTTAGTGTTTACTTTCGTCCTCTCCGCTCTAATCAGTGATAAATTGAAAGTCAAATCAGCTAGATTAAATTGTTACAAGTACTCATTCTTTGTCAGAATCGTAAACCTGTGGAATAAATTACCTAAAGAGGTAGCTGAAGCAGACTCTCTGGGAAAATTTAAGACCAAAGTCAAGAATTACCTTTTTAAATAATATTGTAAATAGTTTTTATAGTACGTATTGTATATAGTTAAATCGCAACTTAATGCTCTTTTATTTGTATATTCAAATAGATGATTATTTTGGAAACACCCTCGATAGGGCTAACCTCTGGTGTCTCCCTTTCTTTCAAATTAATTTTTTTTTTTTGTGATTTGATTGAATAAAGCATTATTACTATAATACAAAGTGTGGACGCTTACTCACGGCGCGCCTTTGCTGTCGGCTTGTTTTTGGATTATTGGACAATCAGTCTCTGTAACGACCTGCAGTTATACTACTTCTATTTGTAGTTAATCACAGTGGAAAATTACAACCCAGAAATATCCATAGATAGACACTCCTGTCGTTATCAAAAAATGCTACGCAGATCGTTCGAGGACTTGGTTGTTATTTGTACCATTTATTCACTGCCCGCTCACTAATTATCGATATGACTACCTCGGAATACTTTTGTTTTTGTACTGGGAAAGCTGTTTGTTTTCAAAAAGCCGAATTCATGTGAATTAATTCGAGAGTAAAGACTCGCTAAATTAGGAACTTACCAACAGAGACGCAAAGAGAGAGAGCGAACATAAAATGGACTGATTTCATCTCAAAGCTGCCGTTTCTTGCAGAGAACTTGGTTTGTTTGTTGAAGACTCTCTGAAGTGTGCTGTGGCTGAATAGAGACTGATGGCTGCTATCACGGGTTGTTTTTCGTATATTTAATAACAGTTTCTGATACAACTATCATTTTCTAGCCAATCATCTTCTGTTGGTCTTAACGTCAATCAATATTTCCATATGAGAAGAAGTGTTCTTTTATTTTAGAACAACTCCTTTGGAATATGCTCGCCACTCATGAGTCATATTAGTCATTTCTGAGTATAAATATCTGCTTCACAATGGCTCAACTTGTTTTACGATTTGTTAGCCTTTGATTATACCAAGGCGAGATTTGTTGTTCCATTTAAAAGCTAGTTTTATTTTCGTATCCTCTAATCTAAAAATCACTCTCTGTCAGCGTCACCTGTGATGTAACTTCGCATTCCACGATTTGTAAATGAAATTTTTAAATATTGTCTCCAAAGAATGGTTACCGGTCGTTTGAAGACAAAAGCTGAAGTCATCAATTTTAAATTCAAGTAAAATGGTCACTTTTTGCGGCTGGTTTCCAGTTCCCAGTGTCCGGAAGTTTTTACCAGGATCCTAACAAAAGTAGCGAGATCAAGTAACACTGGGTTGCAATTGAGTTTTAAATTCTGCGTTGCTCCCAATTAGCTCATACAGCTTAAGTGTATTGGCATTGGAATAAAGTTGATTATTATTATCATTGTGTGACTCTCTGCATACAAACGTAGCTCAGTTAAGTCTGTTTACAAGTTAGCGCCAGTTAACCGGCTCAGACAGCATTTGCTTGCTCCTCCGGTTCAGCGCGGATGATCGCATATTATCAGAAAATCTGTGTGCAATTAAAGCAATGTCATGTCTGTGGGTATTTGGTTAAGCAAGAAAAATAGCACGTGCAAATATGGGCCTTCAGAAAAGAAAAAATTGCTAGTCAGCTTGACAGTTGAAATCTTCTCGGTTTATTCAAGAGAAAAGTGTTAAAAAAAATCTCGATCTCAGCCTGAAGTGATTAGGATCAACAGAATTGAAAACAGCAACTTAGATAAACTGAACTCGAGAAATGTTTGTAAGTCATGCCGTGAAAAACGCAAGCTATGGAAGGGTGACCTAACCTTTGTGAATTCTGCTCTAAAGGAGAAATGCACGACAAAGTAAGGTAAATGGATGAAGTTTCATGGAAAGCGCTAAGACTAGAAAATCATTTGATATGAAAAAATTAACTGACAACGTATTGCAACAAAGATTCTCGACGCAATATACGAGATATTTGTCAGAACGAGCCTGTTTGTCAGTAACCTGCAGGCAACCTAGATCCTGATACTTGTAGAGGCTCCTGAGTGTGAAGGCAAAGTACCAAGGAAAACTTGCGATTCTGTCGCGGAGCTTCTAAAATGTGAACGCAAAATGCTGATTGGCCGACTCGATGGAGTGATGCTGATTCGCCGATTTTGATCAAGTATGATCTCCTTTCAAGTGCACGATTTCCGACTAAAACAAAAATAGCGGACAGTGGTTACTCCATCCGCAAAGCTCGCGAGAATTTCTGGTTATGTACATTTAAATACGGTCTCCATTCAAGAGCAGCGGCTGTATGCAGTGGAAACTTTGCTCCAGGGCAGAGATACCCCAGCTGAATTATCCTGCTGGCCGAGGACTCCCCGAAACCACCAGTATCCGCGTTGCTGATATGGCGTAAAAAGCCAAGTAGCTTCGAAAATTTGCTGCAAAGTTCATCGACATACACTTCGTATGCTAGATCTTCATCGATGATCATACCAAGAAGTTTATTGTTTACGACTTTTTCAGGTTCAGCGTTATCCGTTTTATTTCCAGTTTTCTCGTATCTTGGACCATGCTCTCCCGTAGACGCTTCCCCGTTACCAACGAAGCTTCTCTTTTTGCATATTCATATACGTTTTGTTTTCTCTAGCCCATCTCTCCACTTCACTCAGATCCAGTTACAATGCTTGATTTATTGATGGTATGGTTTTCCAGTTTCAACTCGAAGACATGATGGTGTCGTTTGCATAAATGTCCAAAGCTGACTTTCGAAGATGAAGGGGCATATCGTTGACGAACAAAGGAAAAGTACCGGACTTAGAGTTGACCCTCGGGGCACACCTTGCTTTAACGTCAGCTTTTCAGATGTAGTTTTCCCCAACGAAATAAACTGCTTTCTCTCAGACAGGTAGGATTTGAACCAGGAAACAGAAGAAGGAGTAGCACCGTAGATCGGCAACATTTTTAGAAGAATTTCATGATCAATCACATCCAGTCAAAGGTTTTCGAAAATCTATAAAAACCAGACCGGTAACTTCGTCATTGACCATGTTCATTAGAATCTGATCCGTAAGTCTGATCAGGGCTGTTTCATTAGAGTGACCTGACCCAAAGGTTGATTGCAACTCGTATAATAAGTTGTTATTGCATAAGAAGTTAGAAAGAGAGCTGGCCACGTACTTTTCGAGAATTTTCGAAAGGACAGTAAAACAGATATCGGGTGATACATACTTGTTGATAGAATTTCGTGCTCCTCCTTTGCACATAGGTGTGACTTTAGCTATTTTCTAATGATTGGGGAAACTGTTGGTTTGATTGAAAGGTTTATTATTTTGCGTAAAGGGTTTGCAAACACCGGTACAAATTTCTTACTGAGTACGCGTACGCTTATGCCATCGTGCTCAGAGGCCTTGTTCCTCGATTTCGCTTCTCTCACACTGACTACAACACTCAATTCATGCATGCCACAGTCGCGATCTAGTATCGACAGCCTAGTTAATTCTAGCAAAAGGGATGCTCAGTTCTGCAAGGCAGATCGATTTTGGAGCAAAGCTAACCACCATGCTGAAAATAATACGAAGACGTTAGAGGACGCGGCATCATTTAGTTGACACTTGGAATAGTCGCGGCGTGTTATTTCAAGATCAAACCGTCGCCATTACTTCTCCTTACTTTTTTAAAAATGAATTTTTTTTTATTATGATTAATTCCGCCAGTCACAATACTAAAACTTACACTACCTAAATTTGGTCCCGTCTCTCTCCTGCAGGGTTAGGGGCAGGAGACGTTAATTTCCCACGCACGAGATTACTGTGTGATGGATGTCCTTCCCTGGGGTGGGATGGGTGGGTAGCAGGACCCCCGTTGATACCAGTGTTTACTACACTGAAGGGGCTATCTTGTATAAATAAAGATGTGTACTATACTAAATATTGTTTACAATGCAGTGCATACACTCCCTACAATGTGGTGCGATCACATACACTAGCAGCAAAACTAATGCTTACTTACAGTATAATACGACGACTCATGTTGCTTACAATAGTAACTCTTGAAATTAGTTACATCGCTATACGACTACCAAATAAATACCAATTGCAATATAATTCCATTACTTATGCTTCTTGCAACTTTTACCTCTCCTTACAATATCGTTACGTTTCAAGCAAAAAGATTACAAGAAGAAAGAAAAATATCAGCTAAGGAAAATTGACTCGACGCTAAAAGCTTCTTTTTTAAGAAAATGATTGACAGACAGTTTTAGAATTGCTATTTTGACTTAAAAAAAGACGTTGATTGAAGCGCCCCCCTAGGGGCTTTTCAGCCACAATGTAGACTATTTAAGTGCTAAAGAAAAAAACTGGCAGGAGGTAGACCAGTGGGCTATTTACAGGGCGCAGCCGAGGAGTTGAACTTAGCCTGTGTACAGCCGCCCCATCCCCTCGAAAAACTCGGGAAGGAAGCGTCTGTGATTTACCGTTGCTAATGGTGTATGGGAATCATTTGCATAAAATTAAAAAAAATGGTTTCCGCTGACCAAAATTTTCGTGGTTCGTCTCACCTCATTCCGATTTTCAAAATACTACTTTTCATCGAGTATTTGAGAGTGTTTGCGACGTTTTAAAAATTGCTTCACTCTATACCGAGCACGAAAAATGTCTCCAAGCCCTTTTCGAAGGAAAGACGTGTATGTAAGTCTTCCCACTGGATACGGGAAATTATTAATCTTGTGGGGAATTAGTGAGGGGCTAGTCTCCCTCGCAGCCGTTTTTTTTTTGGATGTCACGCAACGCTCCCCCTGTTCTCCCAGAACGCTCCTAGTTCTTTTGGGGGAGCGTTGCGTGACATCCAAGAACAAACGGCTGCGAGGGAGACTAGTGAGGGGCCCACACTGTCACTGTTCTCTTCCAGAATTTATTTTCAAAAAGCAGACAGAACAATATCAGGCGAGGTCTCTGACCGACCAAAAAACTACTCACACTGGTTTTCTTATCTCATGAACACACCTTCATCAAAACGTAAGTTGATTGGCTTTAAAGTTCTTCCCTACAAAGATAAACAAACTGATTTATCGGAGCGGACAGATCGTGAAACTCGATTTCCGGCAGATGATTTTGAATGATTGCAATACTAATTATCCTGTTTCCGACAATCTTTTATGAGGCCCCAATCGTCGCCGATGAGCTGCTCTCGCGTCCACGTGGCAATAGTAAAATAATTGTGATTTCACCGTTTCAAACGTGATGGTGGAACGAGGAGTAGGATTCGCTTTGACGGGTGACAGGAAAACGGAAGAAGAAGAGGATTTTTAGCTGATAATCTTTCGAATTGTAATGTTTACAATACAAAGATTCGTCAGAAGAGCCCTTGGTTTCTTTGAAGTCGACAGGCAATTTCTGCACATGTAAGCGGAATCTATAGACACTTTACACTCCAGCGACAGCTACTCCTCCCGGACGTTAAAACTCGAGCGAGCTCTTCTGTCCGTCAACGGGATTTTTATCTGAATTCTGAACGATGTTTTTTCCCACAAAGAGCACACAAACTCATCGCTAATTCGAGCACATGTTATTGTGAGAGCAATGTGTACTTTGAGAGAAGGCTTCACATTTCAGAAGTCAATTTCCCGCGAAATTGATAGCCAATCGAAACCCGTGGTTCACATGATATAATGATCTACGAGTAACAGCCAATGAGATCATTTTCCGCACATTCCTGGAAAAATCACATTGTCCCCATACACGATTAGCAACGGTACGGTAAATCACAGACGCTCCCTCCCCGATTTTTTCGAGGGGATGGGGCGGCTGTACACAGGCTAAGTTGAACTAGGGGAAACCAACAACAAATTCAGTGAATGGCAGGGTGAAGGACTTGAGCCCGGTACACCGGATTATAAGTCCAACACTCTAACCACTCTGCCACGCCGCGTCCTCGACTTTAAGAGTGTAAAGGTGAAAATAACCGGAAAAAAATACCACCGTGTAAATTCTAATACAAGTCATTCAATACGAAAACAGACCTTGTCGCATGTCTTTTTTAATCAGAAAGAAATTGTTTTTACATTGGAAAATGCTGGTAGATTATGACTTTTTCTGTCTACAAAAGCAGTTCCTTAATCAGTGAACCAAAAGAGTTGAGAAAGGCTACAAATGTGCATGCCAGAAACGTAATGGTGCTGGCCGTTGGCAGTGATCCTCCATTACACAGATCTCCAGTGCAGCAGTAAGCAGAACACAAGTTTGAGGACGACTGACCTTGGCATACATCCTTATGTTTGATGTCTTTGCACCACTGTTCAGTGTCAGTACAACCCTTGGCATATAACGTTCCGCCCCAACTTGGAAGTTTTTGTTCAAACTTGGCACATGCATACGATCCTAGCGGACAGGTTTGTTTCTTCGTTTCACTTCCACAGTCACCCCAACTCTTGGCACTAATACACTGGTAACACGTCAAGCAGTGCCCTGAAAACGAGCAAAGCCACAGTCACAATATGAGACAAATCGTGAATGATCTAGGAAATGGGGAGAAATCCCTCCGAAAAAGTAGTTCTCAGTTAAGAATTAGCTAATGGCTGGCTGAAGGCGCCTTCGAGCTTTCTTCAATATGTCAAAAACCGAGAATCAGAGACAGAAAACAACGAGGGAAAGAGGAGAGCTCTAAATTTGCTGAGCCTAGATTCAGTGACAGATGACTGCCGAAATTCTAGTTCTGTGATGGTCTTGAGTAATTTTAGAGGTTCACACTGCAATGTTCAAATAACCTTCAAAGCTGATTTTTTTTTTATTGGTATTTCCTGATTTATTTTTGTTTTTGTGTTTTCTGTCGAATTTTGTTTCCCTTTATTATTTCCCTCTTTATTCCTAGACTACGAGCAGTCCCTCCTTTTCGGCGAAGTCCGTCGCTCGAGTCAAAAATATATCAGTGATGAATAAGTTGATGTTAGCGCGCTGCGGGAAACTCTTGAAGTGACAACGATGCACCACAGGAACTCCATTAGTGAGGCGCTCGAGAAGAAGTATTTAACGAGCGCGATATCTTTCGTGAGGTGGTTACTGCTTTCGACCGATACCAAACAGAGAAAGAGTACTAACACTTAGGCAAGCTCTTAATAGTAATGCCCGACTACTCCCAAGGCAAGCTGCCAAACCAGTGATCCATGACACGAAATAAAAACAACTTAAAATGAAAACAGAGCGATATTTTTGCTTGCATTATTAACAAGTAATCAGACGATTTTTTTCGTGGAATTTGGGATAAATAAGCACTCGTAAATTGTTCGAAGACAACAAATTTCACTCGCCCTACGGGCTCGTGCAATTTGGTTAGCTTTTCAAAACTTTACTCGCACTGATTTAAACTGCACTCGAAATCATGCGATACCCTAAACAAACGACGCGTAAACTTATCTTTGAGTAGGAAAACAGAGCGATATTTTTGCTTGCATTATTAACAAGTAATCAGACGATTTTTTTCGTGGAATTTGGGATAAATAAGCACTCGTAAATTGTTCGAAGACAACAAATTTCACTCGCCCTACGGGCTCGTCCAATTTGGTTAGCTTTTCAAAACTTTACTCGCACTGATTTAAACTGCACTCGAAATCATGCGATAACCTAAACAAACGACGCGTAAACTTATCTTTGAGAAGGTATAACTCGTTAATGTTCTCTCGTGGTGGCGCTTGAGCGTGATCTTAACACCGTTAAAGTTATACAGCGTTTAAATAATCAGTTTTTGTGTTTTGAACACTGGTTAGAAAACGACTTTCGTAAATGCTGAGTAAACTTCCTTTGAATAAGTGGCTCGAAATGTCTGATAACCAATCTTGCCACATTTGACAATGAAGTATGCCTTACTGTTTTGCTATATTAAGAGCATCGAGCGTAATACCGGCGTATGACTAAACTTTTTAAAAAATTCTCTATGTGTTACAGTTCAAAAGAGATTAATGCAAAGTTTTTGCATGATACCATGTTTGCGAGGGTTACGCTCAAATTTTCGAGCGTAATTGAGTTATCTGACACTGCTATCTGATGCAAACAAAAGTCACTGTAATCATAGTCTATTTTGGCCCTCGACGAGGTCCATCTCGAGTTTTCTTCTTTCATAAACTATGTTCAGTGTTTAGTGAATTTTTCGTTTGCAGTCACCTATCTTTACCATGAGTAAAAGCCCTTCCAGCACAAGTCATCACACATTACCATGGACATATGCAT